GGGGGAGGAAGAGAGGGAGAGGGGGAGGGGGAGAGAGGGAATTACAACTCTGAAGGCCCTGAAAGGGGAATGAAAGAAGAAAGACACCCTGAGGGGGAAGGGAGAGAAGCAACAGGAAGAGGAAGCTAACCAGGAAGAGGAGGGAGTGAAAAAGATCAATTGCTTACTAAAAAAAAAAAAAAACAGTTATCGAGCATGTCCTAGATGCCAGACACACTAACTCCTTTCATCCTCTCAATGCTTTTGCTGTTGCCATTTCCCGATGGGGAAGCTTAGAACCAGGGCAGTTAAGCAACTTGCGCAGAATTATACAGCTACTAATTGGCAGAGTCAAGTTCTAAACTTGGGGAGTCTGACTGCAAAGCCCAAGAACGCATACTGCCCTTGGCCAAAGCGTATCCCAAGAATACACTGCTCTCTCTGGGTACCTGATAGGGGTGTGTGGAGTGAAGAAACAAAAGCATGTGGTCAAAGGCAAATTTGGAGAATGGTAAGTTAAATGGGCTTCTTCACTAAAAGACTTCTGAGAGCTTTCGAATTGCTAATAAGCACTGCGAATCTCCAAGGGATGAACAGAGTACATGTATGAACCAAACGTATTTGACTAGGGACTTGTTTTCTTGGGGAAGCATCTCGCTGGACCAGACTCCACTTTCAGAAGCATAAAGTATCTGTTCAACCCCCACGCTGTGCTCCCAGGTTTGCCAGGTCCAGTTGAGAAAAGGTACCGAGACCCCACTCAAATCACCCCAGAGCCCTACAAGCCTCAGCCACCCCCCTACAGGCAGAGGACCTCCAAGGCTCCCCCAGCTCTCCTGCCTAAGACAGGAAACTACTGGCATCCGCCCCTTGCCCTCTCAAACTACACAGCCTGCCCAGCTCTCTCTGCAGTGTCCATCTTTGTGGATTTCACAAAGGAAATTTCTCACGTGTGTTAATTGTTCCTTCCAATTCTGAACACCTGTCTGTCCCTTCTGAGAGACTTGGCATTAAATCATTATAATCAAAAGGCTATCCTACTCTACCCAGACCTCAGAAAGAATTCCTCCCTGAAAAGCCTGAAGTTGGTGGCTGTTGTACGCCACTGACAGAAGCATTAACAATTCACTTAAAGATAAGGTAAAAGATATTTTCAGGCTGGTGGAAGCAGGCTGACAGGTAAGGCCCTTTTCTGATGAGTGCCTTGGAGTCAATTACACGATAAGTGCCTGTTCTAGGAAGCCCTGTTGTTCAAAGCTCAGTAAATATCCTTAAGCAGAGAGAGCAATTACAGGTAAGTAACTATTTCTTGAATACAGGGAGTGTCCTAACTATTCATACCAACACCTGAGACCATTAGGGGCTACGGTCACTTCAGAGGTCAACTAGCAAGCTGCAGGGTAAGTCTGACCACCTGTGACAGCCAAGTTCCACAGCAATGACCCGGCAAGGGAGGAGGAGCATCATTTAGCAGGTGTCTTGGGTTCCTAATCACAGCTGTTGAGTCAGCAAACTAAGTCCTCTAAAATAGTGCCCTCGTCATGTCACTCCTCTGCTCAAAAACCTTCTGTGGCTCCCCACTGCCAACAAAACAAAATTCAAACTTCATGGATGGGTATGGGACATCCTTCACAACCCACCTCAAGTCCACCTTTCTGGCTACACTCTACCTGAATCCCCACGGGCAGCCTCCCTTCCCCTTTCCTTCCCTTTCATGTCAAGCCCGCTCCACACACACCTCCACCACGAGGCCCCGTCCCCTTCTCTCCTGGCCCATACTGGTCACGTGCAACTCTGAAATGCTTTCAACATGGCCGGTTTCTACAAGCTGCAAGTTTCCCCCAACCACAAAACCACCGTAACCATGTTCAATTCTGTTTCAGCCGAGGAGGGGAAATGGCTTCTCCACAGCTGACAACTTCCCCTGGAGTTCAGCCATTCTCCTATTTTCTGGAAGATGAAATGCTCTACATCTTCCAGGCCTGTGGTTTATATTTCAGCCAGCAGTGTCAGCACTGATACAGTCACCTCCCATTTTTATTGAGCAGCACACAATGTAATTGATGACATCTGCTGGGGCTGATATTTTAAGTAGAGGCTATTCTCGGCTTGGTGTCCTCTCCCCCATGGCTCTGTGTATAAATAGCCAACAGTAGCAGCTACACCTGAGGTACAAAGTGGGGCTTCTTGGCTAAGGTCCTCAATTATAGCCCCATAAAGTCAGATGGTTTTCTGGGAGGATTTATGTAAGCAGATCCAGCTTTCAAGCCTGCACAGCTAGAGAAAGAGGGGGCAGGGCTGTGCTGGAAATAGTTGCCATCATGCTTTGGACTTTTGAGTTAAGCAGATTTGAAAACGGTGTTCTTTTGGGCGCTCTGAGTTTTTGTGTTAACTCCTCAAATCAAGGGAAGCTCTCGTTTAGATCCTCAAGGGGCAAACGAAGCCCACCATTATGTGTTACCTTTCCCATGCATATGAATAACCGTACAAATGTCTTCCCTGGGTAAAGTGTTTGTATTTGTTTGCAAGCCCTGGGGAAGAGAAAATCTGGCAGTTATTTAGGCAACATTTGATCCTTAGAGGACAAGAACATATTTCGGGTTCTGGGCTAGAATCAGTTCACTGCCACCGTCAGCTGAGGTGCCTCCATAAGCAAAATCCTGGTAGGCACGTTGGTAGAGGGGCATGGGTGCCAGGCAGACAACATGCAGCTCTGTGTTCTTCCATAATGAAGGCATATCCTTTCAAATGGAATTTTTAGAAATTTTGGCCATTTTTGACAAAAACTTTCTAAACTAAATTACAAATACCTTCCTATGCTTTAATGTGATATATTGTGATGATTCAGTCATTGCTAAAATTGTAAAAGACAGAGAAGCCCTTGGAGGCCACTAATATATGTCTAAGCCCAGCCAGATGTTCCAAAAGGAAGCCTTCCCAGGCACCTGCTCCCTACACACGAGCACACATGGTAAGCCCCCCACTTACAGACTCAATGCCTTCCCACGAACCCTAGGTACAGCCATAACAACACACCCCACTGCAACTGTCAACTGAGTTCTTTCCTGATTCCCCACTCTGGGCTCCTCCAGAGCAGGCCCCACAGCGTTTTTGCTGTATGCCCAGAACCTAGGTTGGTGCTTGTACAAACAACGGTAGTTGAATCGACATTTGAGAATGAGCGAATGTGTGTATGTATGAAAGCATAAAACGTTGCCCTGTTGGAAGGCATGAGCTCAAAGGCATCTGTGGACATTTTAATACCAACTCTGCTTATAAGAGAACCAGAGTCCAGAGAGAGAGAGAAAGAGACACCCATTAAAACGACAAATGAGAGGGTAGAAAGGGGCGCCATGTTGTACGTCAATGCCTTCCTTGCCTTCTTTGTGTCAAGTTTACCATCATGATCACATCAAATACTCAGGCTGCTGCACTGAAGTCACCCCAGCAGCATGAACCTTTGAGACTTGCTGGGTAATATTTTCCCTCCAAGTTTCAGCATTCATTGAATATCCATGCTTGAAGTAAAATCTACCATCATTTTCAGCAGCAAGGTCTGTGCCGCCAGCAGCAGCCACACATGGAGTCCTCTCTGTGTCTTAAATAACTCACCAGAGGACACTGGTGGTGACTTACAATGGCCATCAGGACACTGGCTTTCTGCTTGCTGGTGGGAGTGGAAGAGCTCTCTGAGGACCCGACTTAAACCCAAGGGGTCAGTGAGCCAACTCTGAACCAAGTTTCTATTTAGAAACCATGACAAAGTTTTTCTTTTAACAAACGAAATATCAGTGCCTTGGAAAGCTTCCCGGGATTAACCTGTTTCTGGAAAGAAAGTTTCATTTTTATGGCTCGTGTGAATTGAGCAGCATCTTCAGGCATAATCTCTCCCATGAATGAAATCAGCCCAACAATGCACCAAGTCAGCCTGACAATGATTTTACTCTTTTGTTGTTTTGTTTTGTTTTAACAAAGGCAATCAATGATTGTTGTGGTCAATTCAATTAAAATTTCTTTCTGAATCCATCTTAGACAATCTCAAACAAATAACCAATTTGATAAAATAATTTCTATCACCCCAGTCAATTCAGTTCCCCAAGTCAGTAAAATAAGACAGCTGGCTGGCCTGTGTGCGAACTGTCACTCTACATGCAAGGAAGGAAAAATGAGATAGTGCTTCCCATAGAATATACAGCAAGAAATATCCTTTACCTTGGTCAAAGGGCTTGTTGGGGTTCCAGTTTCTGAAATAATCATCCTATATAAGGAAAAAAACATAGAAAACGGAGGTCAGATTTCAGGAAGCTTCTCACATAACTGCATCAAAAGCTGCCTTCCTCCCCACCTCCCCAAAACACAACAGAAAACACTAATAGCTTAGAAAACTTTCCCCAAACAGACAGACAGTAGCATGCAATAAAACATAACAATTTACATTTCAAATTCTTGTCTTTCAAACGGTACGGATTAAACACTGGGACGAGTGAAAACATTTCAGCCTCCTATGGAAACAGCACTGCTCTCCTTGGTCTGACAGGTAAACCGAGACAGCTTCTAACTGCATGGTGTATTTTCTAGCAACTATTCTGCAGGTGAGGCCTGGCTGCTCTCACTGATCATTCAGCCTCTCTGTTTGTAACAGCTGACAATTCAACGGTCGACATTTCTTTAACGTGGAGACATGTAACTTGGGATGCCCAGTTCAGTTTTCCAGCAATCACAAAAAACCTAAGATCAGAGGGCCATCCCAACGCTGGCATTAACCACAGGCATACATGTAGCATCATACCATTTGTTCTGGGTGTGTCAAGGAAAAAAACCAAAGGCTGACCAATCTGGTTGATTCATAACCGTGTCTTCCTTGCATGCAGCTGGCATCAATTTATGCCCCAAATTGGCTACACACTTCATTACTTTGAAATTGCAAGGGTCTGGGTCACTCACTCCTTTGTAGTTACATTTAATCTCTTCCCCAATTCTAATAACCCTCTCCTTGTAAATCACCATTGTCCACTCTCTCTAGCCCCCAAGCCATCTCCCAGCTCCACTGCTCACCTGCACACCCATTGTCAGTAAACCTGAACAGTTTGCAAGGTGCAGTGGCTTCATCTATGTATGTCATCCCGATTTTTAGGGCATGTGCCCATTTTCGGTTTTCTCCCGACTATACCTGTATTATTTGCTATATGTGTTTTGGGCAGGTGATCTGCATGCTGCAGATGGTTTCAGAAAGCTGTCCAATTTCTCTTCCAGAGAAGTTAACTTACATCAAAGTGCACAATTAGTTTAAATTATTGTCCATGCTGTCTCCTGCTGCAGTTTATCTCTGACACGATCTCCTGTGAATTTTATCGGCCTCTGCGTCGTTCAATTACCTGGCTTTATTAGATCCTTGTTGAGTTCACCTAAGCCCTTAAGTAGATTTTAGAAAACTGGATTTAGAGTAAAATCAGAACATATTGCTTTTTGGGCAGTGATTCCATTTTCCAGAGCATGAATAAACATGACCAGGTTCCTCTGGGTCCCGATGAGTTGCCATTAAATTATTTTTAACTCTGAGGAATTGGCCCACTCAGCTGTGGTTTTAATTTTATGGTGTCACTGGCCACCTCGCCCAGCTCATTAGGAAGTCTCTGATGTCTGCACCCTGAAATATCACTGAGAAAGCTTCAAACGATCCCTCTGCCACATCTCTCTCTATCTATGACTTAAAATACAATCTCAATCTTTGGAACTATGTAGCTTAAAACTCAGCAGCCAGCATTAAATGATTCTAGGTTAAGGGCTAGATGGTCCGTGGGAAATTTAGCTCCCGAATTCTCAGTTTGATGGTCCTAGATACAAGCCTGGTGTCAACACATTCCGCCATTCATGGGGCAAGAGAAGAGATAACCCAAGATGAACTCATCTTCACCACTGGGGGAAAAAAATAACAAAATGCCCATCCTTCCAACTGTGGTCCATCCGTGCCCTCTTCACATCCAGAGGACGGCGTCATGTCCAGTGGCAACGTGGCATCCAGGAAATGCTTTCTACTTGAATACACTGTTCTAATGCAAGCCCTCAGAAGCTTAGGATGTGTGTCCAACATGTCACATTCTCCTTGATGTCAAAGAAAGGTTTGAACAAGTCTCCAGAACTGAATATTCCCTAATGATTGCAACAGCCTTTCTAACTTGGATGGAATCTGAAGCATGCTCCTGGACCTCGTCACTTTTCCAGGCTAACTGTAATTGTCATTTTTACAAATTTCTTGGGGGAGGAGTGGAAATCATAGTTTTAAATATAAAGCCTCTAAAAGCAGATATCTGCATTGGAATATCTGAAACCCATTGAAATGTACAATAGTAACACTGCCTAATTGCTGCCAAAATGTGAAAGTACACCTTGAGCGAAAGCTCATTATTTAAATGAGTCCTTCAAACCGCCCCTTGCTCAGCAAGGCCAAGCAGGGAAAGAAAATGATTCCTTGTATCTGATTGTTTTTGCTGTCTTAGAAAAGTAGATTGCCAAAGCAAAAACCAGTGAGCCACGAGCTGATAAAGCCTTGGGTGTAGCTGCTTTGGCGGCAACTGAGAGAGAAAGCCTGTATCAAGGGCCAAGACCGTGGACACGCGGGAAGCACTCTGGGCACCACAGCCCCTTTGGGGGAAGGTCACTGGGCCTGGGGGAGGGGGCTTCCTCGTGGCCATTCTGCAGCAAAGCTGAGGATGTGATGCCCAGGCCCACGGATCGCCCTTCCATACTGTCCTAGCCAGGTCTGATGGGCGGGCACATGTGGCAGGTCCAAGCAGGCCAGAGCAATATCCATCGATTCACCCTGCACCTGTGGGAATTTCTGATGAGGCGGCATCCAAATCCATGAGGAAAGAGTAAAAAGAATGCCTCTGCTAGAGCGTCGCCTCCTGAGAATGTGCTCATCCCTGAGTCCAACTGAACCATCCGGATGCTCAAAGGACATAAGGACAGATGTCGGTGGCCCTGAACCAACACTCAGTGCCAGAGCTGGTCATTTCCTCAAGGCCTAAGATCGGGGGGCGGGGGGAGGAGAGTGTTGGAGGGGGTATCGCCCCACACCCCAGCTCTTCTCTTATTTTCTATCTAAATAAAAATATATAGCGTATATTTTATGTTAGACTAAAAAAAACAGTTCTGCTGACAGTTGTAGCCCTTTTCTAACAGGGATAATCCCCACCCTGGAAAGCCGTGTGCCTGCCCACACACCACCTCAGGGCTGCCCTGGATCAAACTGTGTTTCTGCTGCGTGGACCCCAGGGTCCCGTCCAGATGCCGGAAACGTGGAGGGCTCTAAGAGTCCTCGCCTCTGATCTTCCCTAGCCCAATAAAGTTGTGGCCTGTTAAAATTCAGGCTGTGTTAAAAAACATGTCAGATGTGTGAGAGCAAACTGGCTGAAAGCAAACTGTCTCTGTCAGAGGTGGCCTCTCAACTGGTCATTTTACCATCTAGTGATGAAGCTGTTAAAAATGACTTGCAAGGACCTCAGCAACAGTTAGTTTTTAAAATATAAACCTAAAGAGGATGATGTGGATCCAAATATAATTATTTGCTAAATGCAGTAACTCCTCTTCGTGCGTAAGACAGGCTGAGGAGGAAAGGGTGGCAGTGTTATGACACACGTCTGTTTTATGGGCTTCCCTGCACAGTGTGGTTATGTCAGACCTCTGCTGGACGGGCCAGAGAACAGTCTTCCTCTAAATCTGACCCATACGAGGAAAGGCTGGTTGCACGTCACCGTGCCACTTTGTAAATGAAAATTACCCCACTCTTGAGGGACTGCTAAAGCCTGGATGAACCTATAAATTTAAACAGAGTCTCAAACTTGAGCATACTGACTTATGTCTGAAATCATGAAATATCCCAGGGCAACATAAAGTCAGAGTAAGAAGGCATAAAACGTCAGCATAAAGATCACAGTAAGAAAGTGACAAATTGTTACATGTCTAGGAAGAGAAAGGAGGTGATGCTGGTGCTAGAAGGAGAATGAGAGGCTGGCATGGCTCCAGTTTTTTTTGTATTCTCCATGGCTGATCCACATAGGTAAAACCATATTTCTTCACTTATCTCGCTAAATAAATATCTTACTAGCATAATACTGGGCCCTGTGAAATTATGGGCAACCAGTAGCTGGTACAAAGGAGCCAGGTTTTCAGCTACTTTAGAGACATTCATTGTGATAAGCATTCACGGAAAGGAAACCTGTTTAAAATATATACATATATAACATATTGTATACTATTATACATAATCAATATTAATAAGGCCATATTTATCAATGCATAACTTAATAAAATATACATGGACACATACATTCATATATACCAAAGAGCATTCTGCTCTACACAGCATCTTGCCATAAAACCTTTAAGCTTCAATAACATGAAATGATGCAAAAATATTCCTGCTATAATCTGAGTGATTATGTCTCTTCATCGTGAATGTGCAGAACCAATGAGGAAGTCTATGGTTCCAGCCCATTTTGGATGGAAACCTGAATTTTCCTTCCATGGTCCCACAGCCCCAAAATGGCTGATGCAATTTAGTTTGATGATTCCCCAGGGATCTGCCTTTCCAGAGGTGCTTATCTCGGCTCCAAAGATTGTCAAAGCCGACTCTGATGAAGACATGGGTGGCAGAACCACATGGAAACCATTTGTGAAGTCCGAGCGCTGTATTCCCGCTTCTGAAGTTGATGTAATAGATTATCTACCTTATAGCTTCGGATACTACAAATCAAAGACATTTAGCTTACATGAAGCAGATCATTTCTTCCTCATAAATATTTTAGCTAAGTTATTTGAACCTGCAGTTTCATTGGCAGATCACCTGAGATCGTACAAACTACCAGCCTAGGAAATAAATGGGGGCCTCATTTATCTCAACCAGGAGTAAGTAAGAAGCCCACAGTCAGTCCTGGCCAGAGTGCGTACAATACGAGTAAGCTGCTCTGGCTTTAACATCTCTGTATCCCCGTGAAATTTCCATAATTGTTAGTGGTGTGTATGTAAATACAGGTGGGTATATGTGTATACACACACTCTGAATCACTTTCTTCCTGAATGGAGCTACTCTTTGATAAATTGGTCTGACATTTGGTATAAAGTCCTGCAGGCCTCAGACAAACTGATTCAGAAAATAACAATGTCAGTTGCTCTGCTCTTTCAATAAATAACCCACCAGTAAAACACAGATAATAACTGACAGTCATCCTTGTACTGTAACTAATGAGAAAAGATAAAGCAGCAAATGGACTGTTTATATGCATTTGATAAATTGCATCCCCTGAATATACCATTGAAAAATAAATGTGTGCCGTGCTGGTTCACTGAACTAAAACAAATATTTACCACTGAGATTTAGGATTTAGAATGAAATTTACATTTTATTTGGCAACTATGTCAATGCTATGTCTGCATAACAGTTGAAAAGTCAGAAACCTACCTCAACTTCCTGAGTACGAAAGCATTATAAATGAGAAAAAAAAGTAAAAGAATCATATCAAACAATAGGAAGGAAGGCAAACATTTTTGATAATTGCATCAAATTTTCATATTATCATAAAATTGGAAAGGTCATAGGCAGATATTTTTCCCTTAAGTCACCAACCATCACTCCCTTGAAAAAGTCCCACCATCCACTAAATTCATGGGAAAGAACATTAGGTTATGGCGGGGGGGGGATACCTGAAGTGGGGAGAAATATAAGTATGCTCTAGTGATCTACGTCATTACTGCCAAACAGCTAGCAAAATTATGATTAAATCCACCACTCAGTCATGATTACTATCTATGAGAGTTTCCAATGAACAATTTCCTGTGCCATAGGTCCAAAGGGTGAACTTCAATAAAAACCCCGAGATGATATCAGAGAACAGGAGTAATACACCTACATTTCTGCAAAGAAGTTATTTTGCCTTGCAGCTCCAAAACAGCTTGAAGGGAGTCTAACACCTGAGAAAGGCATGGATCTATGGTCTCAGAAATACGGAAAATGAACGAGATTGACATGGCGCCTCCAAACACTTAAGGGATTATAACCACCACAAAGGGCACCCTGTCCTCAGGACCGTCTGTCTGTCCCTGTCCATCCAAGCTGGGGTGGGGGGCAGGAGAGACCCGCTGATTTGGCCTTTTCTCAAAGAGAAAAACTGAGTCTGAATTTCCTTAACCAAAGTATGCTCTGCATATCGCTTTTTCTCATGGGAAATGAATGGGGATACGACGCTCCACTTGTCCTCTGACCAAGACAAGGGGTGCCTCCGCAGACTGAAAGCCATCCATACCCGTGACCGCATTAGCAAGATTATTGAAATGTCTGCGCTAACCAGGGGCAGCCTTCTGAACATCCTGGAAAGAGAGAAACAGCCAGTCCTATGGGATCGAAGGCACAGGGGACACTATAAACAGGACGGGCACAGGGGCAGATGTGAGTTTACAGCTTGCCTCTAGCACGCACCAGCTGGCCTCGCACAACCCACTTCGCTTCTCTGAGTTGCAGTTTCCTCATCCGTCAAGGAAGACCACTGCACCTACCTTGAAGGGTGGGTCACCGTGATCTGTGACAACGTGACAAAGTGCGTGGTATGCTACCAGGCGCACAGAATTACTCAACAACTGAAAGATGTGCACTTTTGTGTCCATCTGCAGAGGTTTACAGTCCTGAGATGTTCCAGGAACATGGACAGAAATGGGCTTGGTAGAAATACTAGGTTTAAAATTTCAATGATGTGAATTCTTGTGCATGTGAACCTTATCAAGTGGACCCAAGTGAAGGGAGGCGAATTGCACCTGGGAAAAATAATCATGAAATATTTTAAATGCATGTAATTGCGTTAGTCTCACACACACAGAGTGGCTTAGGCAAAAAATTCAATGAAATCTGAAAACTTCAGCTGCAGGCACGTCTCTGTTTAAAGGTCAGGCTCCCACTCTGTAAGATTTAGTGACCCCGTCTATTAAAAATAGAAAAAAAGATAATACTTGTACCACAGAGCCATTTCGTGCATCTAGTGAGGTGTTTGGAACCATTGTTAGGTATTACATGTCATATTACATACATATAATTACAACTAACTATACCCTGATAAGGGCACTGGGGCTGCTCTGAACAGGGACCATTTCTGTATAATCATTAATTTAAATGTAGAAAACAGATGGAGAAACCCTGAAAGGGTCTATCTCAGTGGCACACCAAACAAGACCCTTGCCACCTCGTAAACCTTTACTTCATAGAAAATAGAAATTATACTGGCCTGAGGTCCAGCCTCACCCAAGTACCACAAATTCCAAATTAATTAGGTCCTATCATCTTTCGGAGAATGCCACTCTTACCACCACCACCCCCCGAGGCTGGCAGGCCTCCATAAGCATCCAGATGCTACCTTTCAGAGTATAAAGCACCGCCTATGAGCTATCACCCCACCCTTCCTCCCACCCATCCTTCATCGAGGTGCCGACCACAGGGATTGGGGAAAGCAGTGGCTCTCATCCTTAGCTAATTGCTGGGGTCACTGTGGGGCTTTCCAAACACTAGGGCCCCACCCAGGAGATGCTGACTCGGTGCTCTGGGTTGTGGCCTCCACAATGGGATTTTTTAAAGCTCCCAGATGATTCTAATGTGTAGTTTCACTGGCTAAAGGGAGCCACATACTAACTCAATTACAGCGACGGAGAGGTGACCAGGGGACAGTCAGGGCCGCCACAGACAGCAAGCCAGGTGCAGCCCATCAGAGGCCTTCTCCCCCAGCTTCCAGAGCTTTCCAGAGGTGTCTCCATCTTCCACTGTCAGGTCTGCTCCTCGAGGCTTCCCCAGCTCCATCTAACCAGTCGCCCGGGGATGAATGCGGGTCTCCGGCTGTGTTCCCTTCCTTCCCTTTGCATTGACGATGACCAAGTCCTTTCCTGCTCAATCCTGGATCTCTCTCATCTCCCATTTGTCTGCGCACACACACAGTGTCTCCCTCAGTTCAGGCCTCCTCAGCCTCCCCTCAGGTCACCACCATGTGCCCTAACCAGCCTCTGCCTCCCTCCAGCCCTGCCCAGGGTGCTCGCCACATTGCTCCTATGGTGCCTTCTGAAGGGGCGCTCTGGTCACATCAAGCCCTCTGCTGCTTCCTTTGGCTCCCGGACTAAGGCCAAGCCCAGAAGCAGCTTACAGGACCCTGCGAGGTGCAGCCCCTGTTGGGCCTTCCCGCCTCCCCACGACCACACACCAGCTCACAGGCCTCACTCCAGCCATAAACCAACTACTTCTTGGCCCTGCAACAGCCTGCTCTCTCTTTGACCCCTGAAATACTGCACATGCTGACGCTTCTTTGCCCAAAGCACCCTTCCTCGCCCCTCTTTGGTTAATGTTTACTGTGTTATCAAACCCCAGTTTACACAATGCTTCTCAGGGGCACCCTCCCCGTCCCCAGTCCCTCCACACCTCAGGTGTCTCTGCTGTGGTGTCTACAGCCCCCTGTGCTTTCTCCTGAGCAGTGACCCTCCCACACTGCAGCAGCTGGCCACTCCTGCAACAACCACACAGAAGACCAGGGGCTGGGCGTCTTCACCGCCAAAACATCCAGGACCCAGGACAGCACCCGTTTTGCACCAGGGACTCAAGAAGCATCTATTACTAGTACTGAATTCAGGAATAAAGGGAACAATTCAACCTCTGCTGCTATTTGATGCCAGTGCCTTGGACTACAACTCCCCACCTAATCCTCTTTGACCCAAAATCACAAGCTCTATGATCAGGAGGTTTCTGAAGAAAGTGAAATGGTCAGCTCCCTAGGGGTGACCTCAAGAGGTGAAAGTACCCAGAACCTGAGACCAACGGGGATGGCATTGGAAGGTCTGGGAGGAATCAGCCGAGCTGTGCAGGAGGCGGACAGGTGGCACCCTGCCCAACACCCTCGCCCCACACCTACTGAGGCCCTGAGTCAACCAAGGAACAGGGAGACTTCATGACCTGGCTCACCACAGCTGAAATGAAATGAAATGAAATTCAGGACTTGTTCGAATCAAAAAGTTGAAATCAAATGAAATAAAGTATCGGTACCATTAATATTAAGCATATGATAAGAACAGCAGCTACCATTTTTGAATGGTTAAAATGTGCCAGGCACTGTGCTAAGCCCTGTGTGTGATTTCACTGAACCCTCAAACTAACCCTCTGAGACAGGCACCATCAGCACCCCAATGGCATGGTTGGGGAAACTGAAGCTGAGAGAGATGAAATTACTACCCAAGGTCACACAGCTACTGAGAAGAAGGCGATTTGAACTCAGTTTTGCCTGACTCCAAAGATCGTGCTCTAACCACCACACGCCACCACCTCTATGGCACTCTATGAAGGGAGGAGCAGTGAGGTGTGTGAAGACTGGAGACTGGACACAGGACAAGGGGCTGGCTGCCCTGTGAAGATGCTGGCAGGAGGTGCCAAGGGATGGGAGACGAGCGCACAGACCAGATACCTCCCAAGAGGCCCTCTCTACCACTGCCGTGACTTAGCGTGTCTCACCTCAGCTTTTCCACCCGTGAAATGGGCGATGAAAACACCTGCCTCACTAGGTCTTTGTGAGACTGGACAGCTAGTCCATCTCTCATGCGCCTGGCTCCAGGAAAGCAGGCAGGACAACCTGCCTTTCTGACTGACTCCAACCCCAGACGGCACCCTGGCTTCCAGAATCATGGCCACCAGCTCCGATGACAGCAGCCTCAGGAGTCCCCTGCCTTTGTGTGCTGTCTGCCACCAGCACTCCCTGGGGCCCAGTTCAAAGTGGAGCATCCTGTGCCGACATGAAGGCACGACATGGGAGAAAATGATGGCTTTGGCACCAGCCATCGCTCCGGGAACCTACAGGCACAGACTTTGCATGAAATGATCATCAGCGGCATGCAGCGCTAGGCCTGCTCACGTTTCTCCCAGCCCTGCCATTCAGCCTCTTCTCTTCGAAGGGACATCCGGGAAGGGTGGCAGTAAAGACTTGCTCCACTATGTCCCCAAGAGGCCCTAGCAGCCACCCTGCCTGCCCTCCTCTGCATCCTGAGGGCCTTGGGCCACTTACAGGTGCTACTCACCAAGGCCCTGGAAATAAATCTGGTCAAGGTCTTTGGTCCACATCAAGCCAGTGGCGTTACAATCAGCATCTGGGAGGGCTCATTTGAAATTCGCAATTTCTGAAGTGACATGTCCCCCATGGTAACAGGTAACCAGAGTGGGAAACACTCCGGAGCCACAGTTTACTTCTACAATCACCAGCAAGGCTTCCATGGGGAAGGGTGGGCATCCCCTCTCTGAGGTTCAGCCACCGTTAAAACTGGGGCTCACCAGGAGGGTGGGAACACTCCTCTGAGACTGACTGAAGACTCTCCAGGACCCCACTCCCAAAGGCTGCTGGGCCTGAGAACACTCAATCGTGGAGACGAGCTACCTTTCCTCTCACCCCACAAGCACTGATGCAA